TCCATCAGGACCTGGCCTGTACCCAGATGCTAAAATCGATGCGAGATACCCTGATGTCCCATTCATTTCAGTCAGTTGCCAGCTGTTGCTGAGGATATTAGTCTTAAAGACGCAGTGCATGAAACAAGATGTCTGACTTCACTTTCAGCTGCACAGTCAGACATTCAGAGTCTCCCACTGCACAGCAGCTAAGTGAAAACATAAACCTCTTGGCAGATCAGCGAGTGTCAGTACAATAAACTACTTCATCATCCTCCTGTTTGAATCTGCAGCCACGATATTTCATTAGATTTAAAGACTTTCAGACATTGTAATGTACAGAATTATGAGCAACTAACAAACAGATGTTCCTAATCTTAATAATCATTCCTGTGAATTATTTTGGGGGGGTTGGACAATGACACATTCACAATATAGGGATGTTTTTAATATTTGCAGCTGAGAAGTGAGATGCTTTGCCAAGCCTAACAGGGATAAGGCTTTTATATGCATACACATATGAACCCTGTGGTCATGTTTACTTACTGACTTTTAAAGGGATCATTTTAGGGAATATTCTCATTTGCTTGCCTGCTAACACTTAGATGAGAAGATTTCTGCCTCTCTCATGTCTGTATGGTAAAGATTACTCCATAGATAGCAGTCAGTTAGCTTAGCTCAGCTCAGGAGCACGTAATTAGCCTGGCTCTGTCCAAAGGTAACAAAAAATGTGCCCACCTTCCCTAAACTCACTTGCTACAAGTTTTGTTTTGCTTAAAGTGGACCTGCAATGAAAACCTGTGGTTTGTATTAGCTACTGTGCAATAGTTAAGGCTATTTCATTTTGTTGCCTCAATGAGGACAGTTATTTGAATCAGCAGTGCAAGCTGAATTATAGCTAAAAATCGACAAATGGGATCATTCACTGAAGCATGCATTGATTAGGGTAAGTGTCAATACAACAGCCCCCGACTGGCATTTTAGCGATACACTTTCTCTCATCTATCTATCAATCAATCTAGAGATTTACATAACTATATCCATATATACTGTTACAATATATCCAAACTGTTAAATATATGTGAATTAAACACGTTTCAAACAGCATGAGTATATAAATATAAATCCTCAATACAAGGTTTTCACCATTTTTTCTACTCTTGGCTCTGGCTGATGTCAGCTGGCAGGGATTTCCTTATATGGTCATTTCAGGAAGCGACAGCCCCACACACATGCAAATATGATAATTTTCTGCTCTGCAAGTTTTTAAATCTGAATTTTCACCTTAAAAAATAAACCTGGTCTTTTTATCTGGGAATCTTATTTTCTGGTGGTGGTGGAAGCAGGTGACAGGCAAGAAGGGGGCAGTGAGAAGGAAGGGGCTTTCTAGAGTGTGCCTTAAAAACAGCCAGTTTAAAATAAAAAATAAAATTAATTTCTTTAACTGTAAATAAGATAAAGCCACTTGTGTCTCAAAAGAAACATGAAGCTGAAAATCAGCCGATTAGGTCCACTTTAAACTATAAAGACGACAAGACATCAGGACTGGCTGAGACCTCAAAGGAAGTTTAGAGACATGAGAGTGGTGTCGACCTTCTTATCTAACTGCGAGAAAGAAAATAAGTGCATTTCCCGCCCTCAAATCCACCCACTCTGAGGGCAGATTTGAGGCACGCTGCAGTCGTCTTACCAGTCCAGCACGGCTCGGACGTCCACCTACAGAGGAGGCCACCGAGCTGACTGAACTGATGGAGGAACTGCTGGGGCTGTGGGCCAGAGAGGAAACTCCCATTGCCACCCGCTTGCTCTTCTTAGCCTTCGCCGGGCTGGTGGAGGGGAAGCCGATGCGGATCACTTTGTGGACTGGAGCAAACAAGCCAAACTTGGGGAGACACTGAAAGTATCTGCAGGAAGAGAAGAAGGGGGAGATGCAAGAGGACGAGGATATTATTTAGAAGTCACAGAGCAGCTTTACAGTCATGTATCTGCAGTTTTGGAATATAAATAAGTGTATTAGGCACATGCATTTACATTTCTCAATGTAGAGAAGGGAATTTTTGATAAATAGTAACAATATTTGAATATATTTTAATATTTGATACATTGGAAATTTGTCTTATAGCTCCTGCAACATCATTTAATTGGTTTGTGAATAAAAACAGAAATAAAATAATAAAATAAAGAGTCAGGAGCCCAGCTGCATCATACAGTACATCGTAACAACCTCCCAGGGTGAAAAATGAAGACGAATGAGTGACAAACACTGCAGTTCCTGAAGCGGCCACTTGAGGCTCAATCCAAAACTGACTCATGTTAACATGGCCTCCCGTGTTTTAAGGCCCGCATCTATAGCATAAATAAATACACTTATAGCCAGGTACCAGAAGCAGTTTTGTTCCCTATAGCTAATTCCCCTACATGACAAGTACTGTGGTGTGAAAAAGTCTTTGCCCCCTTCCTGATTTCCTAGTGGCTTGCATATTTGTCGCGCTTACATGTTTCAGATTATCAGATCATCATAATTTTAATATTACACAAAGAGGGATTTTTTTTTTAATATAATTACCCCTTTACATTTCTTTAGTGTGTAAAGTTTTAAAAAAAAACATTTGAAGTTGCGCCAGCTAGCTGTGAGCTAGGCCTCCGCTAACTTTAGTCAATCTAAAATATGTTTATGGTATTTTTATGAGATTATCTGTTTGAATTATAGATAATATGACCTGCTTTAGGATTAATTGTACTAATAATAATAATAATAATAATGGATTGGATTTATATAGCGCTTTTCAAGGTACCCAAAGCACTTTACAATGCCACTATTCATTCACTCTCGCATTCACACACAGGTGGAGGCAAGCTACAGTTGTAGCCACAGCTGCCCTGGGGCAAACTGACAGAAGCGAGGCTGCCATATCGCGCCATCGGCCCCTCTGGCCAACACCAGTAGTGGTAGGGTAAAGTGTCTTGCCCAAGGACACAACGACCAGGACAGAGAGCCCGGGGACTGAACCGGCGACCTTCCGGTTACAGATACGCTTACCAACCCCCTGTTACTGTTTTAGGCTAACTAGCTGGTATCTGCAGTTTGCTAACAAAACTAGCTAGAATTCGAGCTAAGCTAATAACTTCTTCTAGATTCAAAAAGCCGACATGGTGACAGCTGCAAAGTATCTGTTGGATTTCTTTGTCATACTCACTCGCAAACAAAACTTTATAGACTTTATAGACTTATAGACTTTATATTGGTCACAGTCTGATCTTTGGGTCCAAAAATTATAAAATTATGACAGATTTAAGAAACAAGACAAACACGCCTTTGTTGTGTTTTTATTTCATGGTGTAGTGTTATTTTCCCCTCTAACTAAAGTTTAATGGAACACGTGGTTTTGGTTTTATCGCCTCACTGTACACCTATATTTGATATTGGGTATAATGATATAAGTATTATTGTATAATATTTATAACTCAACAAACTAATAACCTATCCAGAAAAATCTAGCATAGATGCAGAATGTGTGCTACTGGATCCCGAGTATCATTAAAAAATGTTAGTTTTACATTCCTGTTGCTTGGCTCTAAAATTCCACCAGCACTTCAAAATGCCTGGAACTACATTTCAAATCTTTTAAAACATTTCCCATGATTGAAAGGGGAATGATGTGTGCTATGCGGGCTAAGCAAGAGTCCGAAGGAGTAAATATGAGGATAAAAAACAGTCCAGAGCAGCTCTGAGCGAGAAGGTCAAACTGTTTAGTTGAAAAACAGATGAGAGCACAAACGGCCGAGCGGACGGATCCACATCCCTCCCCTTGATTTCCTTTTAGAGTAAGAAGAGAGCAGGAATTTGGGGATCTTGAGGCATGCATAGTGTTTGTATATACCTTGTACCAGCTACTGCACCATCATTCTTCCCCAGAGGCTCATCCAGCTCGACCCCACACCATTCGCCCTTAGCAAAGTCTGTCTCCCCCATATAGCGTATGACTCCCATCTTCGAGCCTCCAACCTGACAACAACAACAAAGGGAAGAAATCAGTTACACTTAAATACAAACAATTCAATACAAAGTGTCAAATTGTTGAGTTTTACACTGCCTTTAACATCATTATCAAATCTGACTCTATGTAATTTCACACATCAGTTCCCATAATCCCTTTTGCCTCTGTAAGATAGAGACCGTTGCTACTGATGCGCTCTCCTTTCTATTAACTTATTTAAGATGCAGTAGAGTCAGGAAATATATGGATCCTTTACTTTTTTCAGACTTTACTGTAATGGAGCTTTCATTTTAAATTCTAATATGTGGCGTGAGTAACTGGTGCTACAATTTACAGACTTCCCCTAAACGCAGCACATGCAGACTTTCATTAAGTTACACTTATGGAAAGAGGACACCTAGAAGGAGAGAAGAAGAGTCACAGTGAGCAGAGATCCTGGATTAACAAAGAAAGTTAAAAACAATCATTGAGATACCCGTTATCTCTGACTTTAGGTTTTGTCAAGCCAGCTAATGCAAAGAAAGCTCGACTCCACTGAACTTGCTTCATTTCACAATCACAAATCAATCAATCAATAAATGAGTCATTTATGAAACAATGTGTAAAGTTGTCTTTTAAAAGCGGATCATCAACTGTTGTTTGGGAACACTTTGGATTTACAGCATGTGCAAGAGTCCAACACAACTATTTTACTCCACTGCCTGAAAACACACCATAAACTGCAGGACAACAAATGCATCGAGGAAAAGAAAAACGATGCGCTGGTTGCTAACGTGAATTTTACAAAGTCACCTCAGAAGTCTGCAAAGATCCACTGAACACGTTCATGCAATCATTAAGACATTGCTTATCGTTAAGTGTCCAGTAAACACGGTAATGAAGGCTTCAGGAAAGCGTCAACTTAACGAACAAAAAAACATGTTATCGCATCAAACAAGCATCTAAAACAGCGAAAACCCCGCGCCAGTGGAGGGACACACAGCTGTTGAGTATTTTGCTACAAGTTTCATTCACAGCCATCGAGCTGGTACAATCAACAGAGCGAAAGAGAATATTTATATTTGTGTTTGAAGATGTTTTACACGTGAAGATGAAAGCAGTGCCCTGTTTCTTGCATTTTGTGCTCAGGTTTAACTTTAAAAGCTTCTGAACAGACTGGTCGAGGTGTACTTTTTTTCTCTCAAATATCTCTTTTCTAATGATGGCCTTGAACTCCAGTGCTGGTCAGGCTCCACATCACAAACACAGGATGCTCTTCTAATGAGAAATGCCAGCAGTTATGGCCATGACGGTGTAATTTTAGCATTTTCTGTTCAAGATGTTCCTTCCTGCGGTCGAGACAGTAAATATGTGGGTGTGGGCATAAGCAGGGTCTCTGTTTCTCTAACGTAGAGGTGCACACAATAACATTAAGCTCCCTGTCAAACTGTCTTACCTGGACACTTGAATATAGAGAAGTGGTATGCTTTTGGGGGACATGTATATTCTAATAAGTGAAGAAACAAAGGCACATAAATAACCCAAAACAAAGTTAAAGCAGAAGAAAAGTACACAAAGTCTTTCTATCTGCACAGCTGTGACACTCCACTACCTCAACCTACTTTTTGGGGGGTCATTATTTGCCAGCACACACCAGTACTGGACCTACATCTGTAAGCCAGAATCTGTTCACTCTGATCGATCTGTAACATGATGTGTCTGTTGCAGATATTTCTGGATGTGTACAGTAAGTGAACATGCTTTTACGCTTTTGTTTGCATAGAATTTTCACTCTCCTGTCATTATAAATATATTAAAAAAGTTCAAAGACAACACTCAACACAAAAATCCTCCAGGAATCCAGTTTGTAATTATAGAAGTCAAAACAGAAACGTTTCCTTTCTGCTTCCATCAGCACCTAACCTTGTTATTTATTCACTGTCAATCATTCGGCTAATCAGCTGTTTGAACTTACTCTAGAAATGAGATATTTGACTAGGCTAACTCAATACATGTGAACTCTGCTTCACTCACTTCTCTCAATTCTGTATTTTCCAGTCTTCCTGTGAGGAAGATGATCTAAACCAATGGCTGAGGACTGTCCTTCACACACGGTGACCACATTTATGACAAAAAGCATCACAGACGTGCACAGATACTCAGCATTTAAGAGGAGAGCCTTTAAAGAGAAAGCACGCTGCAGTCAGAAATGACAAAAGCAACATGGTTACATTTTATTCATCTCCTTTGTGTTAATTTCATTTACCTGAATCTCCATCTGTATCTATTTATCTCCATTCCCAGTGCACTGAACAGGTGGAAAAATGCTTAAAGCAACAGGTGCTTCTGTATTTATCTACAATTTAAGAACCATAATTGTTCTTTTGGAGTCCATCAGAGTCTCTTATAAAATATTTTTACACATGGCTGGATTCAGCATGAAACAGAAGACAAGGACAGACTAAAATAAG